CACACACACACACACAAACACACACACACACACACACACACACACACACACACACACACACACACACACACACACACACACACACACACACACATCTTTCATAGCTGTGGAGACACACCATGCTGAGCTCCTGGGACACCCCTCCCATTGCAGCATACGTCACTGCATGGAGTTTCTTCCCCCCTACATTCGACAATGCAGGAATAAAGTGACACTCGTCACTCACCCAACATTATTTAGCCACATCTGTCCCGGTTAAAGCTCCACAGTTTTCATCAGTCAGATTCCTCAGTGCACAATGTCTGTTTAATCTCCTTTCATGAGTTTTTCACGGTTTAACTATCTTTATAAAACTCTCCTTCCTGGTAACAGTCGGCTCTGGAAGCGAGTCACTGATTTTTTTTCTTTTAACCCAGTGTCCGAGCGCTTTCAGTACAAACACGCCCACAAACTTCAGACCAATCACACATTACTGTCGTCAAAGGAGGGGGGGTAAACAGTTCTACCGGCGTGTTGTGCCAAAAGGGAGGCTGAGCAGACGCTGCGAAGCCCGGTGACGTAATTTTCATCATGAAACTGCAGCAACACTTGTTGACGTTGGTGGTGCGGAGGGAGTATGTTTCTGCCTGAAGTCCACAGTTCTCTCAGTCCTCCATGCTGCATCTTTAAGTATAGTTGTTTCTTTCCACAATTTTGTATATCTTTCAGTATATAGGCCACATAAACTGTGTGGCCCTGTGATGGACTTGTGACCCGTGGGTGTACCCCACCCTTTGCACCGTGACTGCTGGATATGGGCACCTGTGACCCCGTGATCCTGAATGGAGGAAGCGGGTATAGATAATGGATGGATGGTCGCATAAACATTATCAAATATATTTCTGATAAGTACATAAAAGTAAATTGAAGGTATACTCTCTCTCTGTCTTTTGTTTGTTTGTTTAAAATTAGTATACTTAAAGGATACTTGCATGTACTTCATTTTGGCAAGTCAGCTGTCAGACATTAGTCAATAAAAAATGTGTTTCTCACTGTCAGTTTAACAGATATAAAAGTAAAGTGTTAGGTGGTAGTAGCTGATTCATTTTCCATACATATTCTAAGCATAAACAGATCACGCAAGGTGTTGGTTTAACATATACTGTAAGGTGGTGAGAACATGCATTCCTTTAAGACCCATTACTTTAGTTACTCTTTGCTTTAAATAATAAAATATTTCCAGCTTTATTTTTTATTTGGTGTGGATAAATTATGAGAACAAACTTGTCCCAAACCAAAGATTTTAAGACTTAAGTACTGTTACGCAATATACTATACATATAAATAAAAAAATCCAAATTTTACTTTTTTCTTTTAAATCTTCTAAACATCTTAAATAGAGCTCTCCTGAATTTTTGGAGTAAATGTAATCAAATCTTAAAGTCACAGCTGGTTGTAACTTCTGCTGCTGTTACAAGCTGACAGAAGAAGCAGTTGCTGCTGGTAATAAAAACCTATGATCCTGGTATTTTCTAAGAAGTTTTTGTTGTTGTTGTTTTGTATTTGTGGTGTAACTTGCAATGAGATTAACCAATCTGTTTTTGTGTCCTGTTATTTACCTGCCACCTTTGCACAAGAGGTTAGTTTTCTCGTTCTGTCTGCATCTCACTCGGCTCGTGTCATCAGTGACACACAAAGCATATTTGTGGTTTCACCATTTAATTAAAGGAACAAAATGTTCAGACTGAATCATTGGTTGCACAGCACGTTATCAGAACTCTATTGGTTCTTTTTCACTTCTCTGCACTGAAGAGTCTTTTTATAAAACTCAC